AATGAGCCCTTCGTGTTGAAATGTCTTCTTATGTTTTATTTATTTATTTATTTATTTTCAACTCCATCCCCCTTATGTTTTCATTCATTCATTCGTTACTTGGCATGTTGAATATCTACAGCATTGTTGTATAACTAAACTTTTCCAACTAATGGATCTAGAATGGAGCTAATTTTTTTCAAGTCATTATAGATGAATTTCTTTGCACTGATTAGCTTTTGTGGTTGAGATTTTGATTATTCTCCTTTTATTGTTTGAGTTTATTATTATTGAAATAAATTTATAACTAAATAGTATGTGATTTAGAATGTAAGTAATTGATGAGATTGAGTATTACATTTCCTGTTTTATATATCTTAGCAATATCGTTGGATCAAACATTCTACAAATCAGCATTCTTTATTTTTGAAAGTCTTAAAGTTTTTATGCTTGATTCAGTGATTGTGTGACAGCAGCCCAAACCCGTACCCAAATGATAAGGTTCCAAAACCTTTACACGGTTTAACAATGCCCAAGTTGCTGCTGTCACAAGGAAACGCTTTCGTGTTAAAAAAACTTAGCTCAAACCTAAGCCCTTTCTTAAAAAAAAAAAAAAAAAAGGAAGAAGGAATCTTGCTCCGAAAAACCCTTAGCTGCCTGGAAGCATAGAGCAAGAGAGGAGAGAACAGAACCATTCAGAGTTGGGGTTCAATCTGATACATTTTAATTGTTCTATGGGTCTTTTCCTTTATTTTTGAGTGCAATGAGAAAAGTAAAATAGTGAGTTTCTAGATTTTCTTGCTATATTTATTTGAGATGTGTGTAATTGTTGTGAATGAGAAATTGATTGCTTTTGTTTTCTATTTGTTTCTCAAGAAACTGTGAGCAAATAAAACATATAGCCATTTTAGAAGGGTATAAAGCTACGCATTATCATATTTGTTTTGTTGTTTGATTTTTTTTTTTTTCTAATTTTTCTTTACTGGCAGTTGGGAAGCAGTATAAGGGAATCTGTTTTTTTCTTT